ATTTTACCCAGCACTGGGTTGTATTTAACCCAGCATTTTTTAGAGTGTAGGCTTTATCTTTATCAATATCATGATTATTAAAGTATATTAATATGTTAGAACCACTCAGCTGTAAAGCAATGTGCAATATCTTCTTAATTAAATGTTCCATATCAGTCCAGAATATTTTTGTATATAAGCAATGAAATGAAGTTTCCTTTACTGGGTATATTCAATGCATTATATTAAAAGAAACTTATTTTGCTTTGTTATTAATGTAAAATGTATCCACTGTTCGCCAAGCTTTATGCCAATTCAAGTCACCAAACACAGAAGACCATAAAAAACGAGCTGGCCTGGAGGATAAACAATGTTATTAAGTATATTTCTAATATAGTCGTTTGAGACTCTGTTTTGTATAATATTTCTGTTACCAATGAATATTTTACTCTTGATATCTGCGAGATTTAAATCTTTCTCCTGAGATGTATTGTTGAGAAGAATCTGTACACGCAAACTGTTTTTGTGGGTCTTTCTGCTTCGTGACGTTATAATGATAATGTGGAGTAATTTGCGTTGACTAATGGTTTACTCGGTGTGTAATTTCTGCATCACTACCATCACCACACGAAATGGCAAAATAACTTTAATCGGACAGGTTTTCTATTATGATAAGCAGGTTTTGAAAATAAAAATCCCATTTATTTTCTCCATAAGGGAGTTGATTTTTAAGGCCTGCGGTAATATGCTTTTGTTGAAGCCGTCGGTCCTTGTTTTTTCCACTCATTTTTTTTAATAATCATGTATAACAGTAGAATTCCTGGTAGAAACTACAATACCCATGATTCTGCAAAGTCATCTCCGCCAATCAGGGAATTTTTAAGGCAGTTCATGCCAAAATATCTCGTTAGCGCCCACCCACTATCATGAGGCACCGCGAATGACGTCATCTACGCTCTCAAACGATTTTGCAATGGACATAAAATATGTTGTTTCTATGTTCACAATACTTAATGGGATTGTAGATCTTTTCCTCAGTAAAGCCGTTAAGTTCAGTCTTCAATTTGTACAAACAGAAACTTGGTGAGCAGTAGAGACTTGTTTCAGAAACATTATTTTAAAACCTTTGACTGGTAATGTGTGTGCGATATACAGTGTACACTGTTGCACTTTATGATGCTTTCTAGGGCTGTTTTGTATGGAAGGCCGTTCCCGCCACTGAATAAAAAAATAAAAGAGGTAATTGTGACTTTTTATCTCACAATTCTGACTTTTTTTTCTCAGAATTG